TATTGGGCCAGCCCATCGCGGAGGGCGTCGCGCGCTGACGATGCAGCGCGACCAGTCGCTAAATAGACTGCGCGCGGGGAAAATGCCACTAAAGCAAACCTGTTAGGCTACATGGGCTACTACATCAAGCCTGTTGGGCTGGGGCGGAGAGTTGCATATTGTCGTGAATGTTGGAACTTCTTTCAATAAATTTGATTAAAACTTAAAAAGTTTGATGATTTAGCTTCTGCCAAAAATACTTTTGCATTTAGCTTTACACACTTTTGATGTGTATTATTGAGCCAAAATATCTTTTTGTGAACTCCAAGAGATGAAGACGACACGTCTCGCTCTAGGGCGAGAGCAAGACGATGCATCGGCATCGCGTTCTAGGGTGAGAACAAGATGAGGCGTCATGCTCTAGGGCAAGAGCGTGACCGTGCATATGCGAACTTCTCCATCCCCGACACATGCTTTTTATATATAGTGCTAGATTTCAAGCCGGCTTGGCTCGGTATGTCTTGCTAAGATAACGAGCTAGCTCCCCTCGACTTGTTATCTTAATGAGCCAGAAGGCCGACTAGGGCTCAACTCATTTAAAACTCATTTATAATCTATAGAGTGAATTCCATCAATGGTGCTTAAACTTGTATCAAGTTCTCAACTATGTCCTAATACTCCAAAATTACATATTATGAGTCCCTAAACTATGTTTACTATGTCCTAGTACTCCAATCTTGTCTAGTAGGTTTAGATCATGATTGTTGATAGATTTGTTTTTGATTCTCGTATAGCTGAAGCTAGGGTTAGGGTTTGTTAGTCTCACATTGATGATGAAATTAGCAAATTTGTTCTTGTTCTTGATGTCTTTAAAATGAGATGTTACATACTAAGGGCGTCTTTAGCCGAGCTCCCCCAGTTCTAGCTCCGTGCTACAGTATCCGATGAGTCAGAGCCAAAGGAGCTAAAACCACTAGTTTCATTTTTTTTTTAAATAGAGAAAAATGGTTTTAATGAACAATACCAAAAATAGTGTAGGAGCAGCTCAGAGCCCTTTCAAACGAGGCCTAAGTAATGGGTGAAACTCATCAGGACGCGCCTCACTAGCAGCTGTAGAGGCGAAGCTAAAAATGGGGCCCAATCTGTTAAAAGCTCTCCAACTTTCCCTGAAGAAATAAAAAAGATGAATATAAAAAATAGTATTCTATTTGTAGTACCAATCGCTCAAACAAGCACCCAAGCCAAGGTGGTGCACTGGTGTTTCCCAGCACCATATGCATCCAGGGAATATTTTACTAGCACCCGCTGCAACTGTTCTAAGGCCAGTTTTAACGTGAATTTTATTTGTATTTAATAAACTACCACATATATGTTTTTGATGATATGTCAATGTTTTTAAGAAGAGAAAGAAGAAGAGAGTTCCATCTCTTGACACGATTGCTAACTCTACGAGTCATGAAATTAAATGTTAACCGCTGAATGAAACTTTCCATTAGGGGTAAGTGTTTTATCCATATTCACTGGCGGAACCAGGGGGCCAGCAGGGGCCATGCCCCGCCCCCCAGCATAGTGAGTCTTTGTAAATACCTATAAAAATTCAATTGCATAGCTAAAAAAATATTATTTCACTCTTTTTTATGATAAATATTATGCTTTTTCGTTATGAGTACTAAATATATATGTAAAAGCATCGGAAAGCTATTGAGACATATATTTGTTGTACATATTTATCATGTTTACGAGGTGTCACGTATTGTCTGGCACCCTTGATCAAAAGTTCTGATTCCGCCACTGTCCATATTTCATTCCATCCTGTGTGATATGACAATCTTATAAGCAAAGCTATGAAGCTCCTCGCTAAGACTGGTCCAAGACAGGTTGAACGTGACTAGGTTAGATAGAAGGGCAAAGTAACATGTGTGACCTGATTGTAGGAAGACGATAGAAGGGTAGAGTAACATGTGTCACTTGATTGTTGGAAGACGACTGTCACAATTGGTATTTGACAGGTAATCGATGAAATTGATGGCAACAAGCGACCAACCAATATTGTTGGAAGACGACTGACCAACCAATATCGTTGGAAGACGACTGTCACAATTGGTATTTGACATGTAATCGATGAAATTAAAGGCAACAAGCGACCAACCAATATCAACATATATGTTGCATCCATGTGCAGAAAATATAGAAAAAAAACAAAAGGTGGTGGTTCGATGGAGAGCAGAACAGGGACGGAGCGAGCCACCCTTGCTCTGCACTCCGCCGAGCCAGCACCTTTGCCCCTAAGCTTGGGAACCTTTGCCCCTAAGCTTGGGATGACGTGGGCCTCCAGCGAACGAGCAGCTGGAGATGGACGTTGTAAGCTGGTCGCGTTCCACGAAATGCTACGGTATGGTACTAAACCAAACGGCGGCGATCCAACGCAGGACTTGTGCAGGCGAGAAATCAGAAATGCATGGAGTCGGAGTCGGAGACGGTGCTAAGCAGCTGTCGTCACGCGCACGGTTCCGCAGTCCGCACCGCCTTCGAAGTTCGATCGGATCCGGTGGTTCCGCCCACGTGCTGTCCGCATCAACACTTGTACGCAAAGGCGGCGGGACGACGATATGATGCCCCTGGAGGCCGGGACTGCAAATGAATATAATGCCAACGGCAAGGGGATTCGGAGTTGGTGTTTCGCGCCTTCGCCTCCAACGACTCGTGTCTCCTCGGAGTCGCGTGTCCGCGTCAGTCTATACGCGCCCGAGAGCCGCTGCTGGGCTGAGCAGCCAATCCAAACGTGGCGCAGCGGCGCGCGACTCGCTCGCTCGCTCGCCGTACGTCGTGCACGCGTGCACCGCCGCCGGTCGCCGGAAGCTGGACGGTTGCTGGCACGCGCGTCGTCCGCCTGAGGGCTGAGGCGGGACCTTAAGGCGAGGTTACGCCTCGGCTTTGCTGTGTGCGTGCTCCAGGCGACGACGATCGATCAATCTACTATATACTACGCGTACGGGCCAGGCCAAATTGGATGCGTGAGCGAATTGAGGGAGAAATAGAACACAGGTGACTTGCTCCCGTGTTGCAAGGTTGGTATTGGATCATCCTCTCAATCTTCAGGCGGATGCATACAGTCGAGAAAGGCGAGGGGATCGTCAGGCTCTACTGGGTCAGGACTCATGATCAGTCGACAAGGTGCGCTCTGCTGGCTCCGCCCGTCGAGCCAAAAGCAGCTAAGCAACGTGCGTGAGCTGTGAGCACCGCTCGTATACGTGCTCGGCAGTTGGCAGAGTGGCTCCCACCTGATTTTTTTTTTTTTGTATTGATTGAATGGTGCCTTTGGCACTGAGGTATAGAAACTTTACATCATTTGATCCTCAGGCCTCAGGTGATCAATTTCTTACATTGCAGCTGCAGCTCTGAAAACACCTCCCCATACATCGGCAAGGTTCCTGTCCTTCCTAGGTAGCCTAAGCTGCCACAGATTGGCATCAGAGATACAGGCTGAAAACGTCTGTTGGAGACTAGTTGTTTCAGACCTGAAGATGGCTCCATTTCTACGCTTCCAAAGCTGCCAACAGCATAGGGCAACAAAATGTGTTTAAATGGTTCTGAGGAAGGTTAGCTGGGCAACAAATGTTGTGAATGTCGCTCATCCTGCCACAGGAGAGAATGGGAGTAGAAAAACCAATTGCAGACCACAAATCCTTTGCAAAAGGGCACGCCATGACCACATGCTCCGCTGTCTCCTCCTCCTGATTACAGGCTTCACAAATAGCTTTGTCCACGATCTTGTCGACTCTCCCAAAGATTATGTTGTTGTTGTATGCCCTGAGGTAACAATGGCAATACTCATGGTCAATCTGTCTTTATGGTCGACACCGATTTAGGCTGATACCACCCATGTTCTCGGTCCTCGTCATCACACTGGCTCTCAATTTTAGTCCATGGCTATTGCCACCACCACTTAAAATCACCACCAATATCACCGACACGTCCGAACAACCTTGTCTAGTGCCCGTTCTTGTAGATAATCCGAGCAATCATCTTTGTAAGTACAGTCATTGTCAATAAGCTAGTGATTATATGTTATCGTGTGCCTCTATTGATGCTTTGGACTCGCACCTCCCTACATGGCTTTGACCATGCCCACGGCCCACCTCACCCTCGACTACTTAGGTGACAAAATGGGCTATTGTCCACGTGAGCTAGTTATCAATTTATCCTCCACTCGCAATATCAACTATGCGACATCCCTAAGATGTGAGGGGTTACTACCTAGTCTTCGACCTCGAACTTCTTCACTAGTCTGGTCATTTGCGATGCTCCCGCTACCACTAGAGGGGAGAGAAGGACGATAGAGCCACCATGCGGGAGGATAAATCTTGGAGGATTGAAACAGAGGAAGGATGAATAAATTTTGGAGGATTGAAATAGAGGAAAAATAAAGAAATTTTAGATGATGGAGGAAAAATAAAGGAATGTTGGAGGATTTAATTCCTATATAGAGTTTTTTTATAAGAGCCTCTAGAACAGAAAAGAGTGAATCCTACGAATTCTTTTGAAATTCTTATAAAATGAGTTTTTTATTGAGGAAACCCTATAAAATGAGCTTTTTTTTAGGTAAACCTATAAAATGAGCTGTCCTATGGAACTTTCAACCTCATGTTTTTCTCCAGCCCAAATTCCTATACGGGGCATACGGCCCAGGTGGACTTGGGCGACGGAGGGGGGGTCCACCCCTTACCCGCCTGACACGTCACATACCGAACCCGGCCGCGCCTCGTCGTACCGAGGCGATGACCAGCGCAGCAGCGGCATCTCTTTTTTGCGATAAAAAACCCGCGTCTCTGGTCACTGGTCAGAGAGGGAGGGAGAGAGCGAGCTAGAACCGGCAGGAAGACAGGACAGAGGGAGCGGAGCCGCAGCGCGTGCGCTGTAACGTAGGCGGCGGGGGCATGGCGGGCCGGGCGGCGGGGCGAGGCGGGAGGCCGCTGCTGGGCGGAAGCGGCGGGGGCGGGAAGCGGGGCGGGAGGCCGTCGATGGCGGTCGTGGCGGCGCTGCTGCTGGCGTGCGCGGCGCTGCTCCTGCTCCTGGCGCTCGGCGCGCTATCGCTGCCCGGTGCCTCCGACGGCCCCGGGGGCCGCGGCGCGGGGCTCGCGCGCCCGCGCCCGCGCCCGCGCTTCCGCAGATCCACCTTCGACTCGTGCGTTTTCCCCCTCTCCACGATCTCTCTTCTGCGCGCGGTTTTCCCCTGAGATGCTTACTCCTCTGAGGTGCTTACGCGTGGTTGGTTGCTCGTGCTTGCGTGCGGCAGGGGGCTAGAGATGCGTGGGCAGAAGGGGGAGCCGTGGACGGAGGTGCTGTCGTGGGAGCCCCGCGCGTTCGTGTACCACAACTTCCTCGTGAGTCCCTTGCCTCATTCGTTTCTGTTTGGTGGGAAGGACAAGGACCACATGTTCTAGATGCGATTTGCTTCATGCTTTTGGTCAGGAGATCTCGAGTTTTCTTTTGTTTCGGTTCTGTTGAAATCTTGGATGAGCTGTTGGCGCAGCACCAGACCTGACCCTGATTATGCGATCGAAGTTGCTTAGCCCTTTGCGAGTTTGCGAGATTCCTTACTCCTTTTTCAGTAACATTTACGGACGCTTTGAGCAAGTCTTTGCTCGAAGTGGTTGTACAAAATTAGTGGCATTGGGTTATGCTGCGAATGAGATGCCGAATTGTGTGGCTTTGTTAACTCTTCCAGATCTGGGCGGCAGCACTACTGTCAGCGTACTTGAATTGGCTAGTGTACATATGGGATATGGCTGTCATTGAGCTTCACCAAGAGCCCACGAGTTGAAACTGAGCCAGGGGGTACTAATCCCCATTTACTGTCAGTGTCATGCATATTTTGAATTGCCGCGGTGGTGGATCTGGAGTTCAAACTCAGGTTTTCAACCATATGGGTTGGATATTTGCTTCGTGTTATGACTATCATTTATCAATTCACCTGAAACATTATAGTTATTCTCACTTGCCAAAGGCCCAAATCATTTGAATGATTGTTAAGTCATGCTTGCTGTTGTAGAGATTGCATAATAGAAACTGAAGTAATATCAGTATTAGTGCCATGATCATTTTTTCGTAATCAACTGTGTTGTTACTGCCAACTATTTCCAATCCATTTTAGTTTGCTTCACCAAACAATCAGGTTATGACTGAATTTTATGTTATTCTCAGTCCAAGGAAGAATGTGACCATTTGATTTCACTGGCAAAGCCTCATATGAGGAAGTCAACAGTAGTTGATTCAACAACTGGAGGGAGCAAGGATAGCAGGTTTGAACATTTACCGAAATTCCAAATTCAGGGATGTTACATCATCTGTGATGCTCATTTTGCTTCATGGACATATATGCAGGGTGCGGACAAGTTCAGGAATGTTTCTTAGAAGAGGGCAGGACAAAATTATTCTGACAATTGAGAAAAGGATAGCAGATTACACCTTCATACCTGTAGGTACGTAGTATTCTCGATGGGTTTAATGTCGAAGTGTTTGCCTACTATTTTGTGAAGGAAAAAAGTCAGTATGCTCAACAGACATTTAGACTAGGTTTAATGTTCGGATGGTGCTGTTTGACATAGGCACACAGCTAGCTTGTACACTTAGTTATCTGCTTCATGGAATGACTGAAAGTCCTTACTACTGCTCTAATATTCAAATGGTGCCTAACTTTAAACTGCACTTTAGGTCCTGCATTCATCATACAGATAGAATAGCCTGCATTGTGGATTTGGTGGGACTAACTCACCAAATTGTACTGTACTAAAGATGTTAACACAATCACAGTCTCTGGAAATGCACTAAACTTTGCGCTTCAGTTGATTTAATAGATCCTTGATTTTGTGACAGTTTGTAGGATACCATGCCAATGTACTTCAGTATGACCTTGGAGGTTTCAATGCTGTACATGTCACTATGTAAGGTCTCACTAAAAACTGCATGATGTGAGGGGGAAAATGTATGTACTGATTGTTGCACTAACAAGTACTTCCCCAAATTTAGATTTTTAGAATAGTACAGCTTGCAGTTTTGCTGACGTGGATTGTTTGACATTTAAAAAAAAAGTATGTAGAGGTACATACCCAACAATATGACGAGGTACAAAAAGGGGCCTCAAGCAGTAAGTGTCAAGTGTCTATTTCAGCAAATAGAAAAATAATAGACCATTACAGCATAATCTGATGGGCACCCCAAAATGTGAATAACAATCAAGTCTTTGAACATTGGTGCCTCTGTACCTGATTATTTTGTACTGCGGTTTTACTTCAAATGGCATCAGCACCTCTCTTTATTGTTTCCCTGTACTTTCGCAGAGCATGGTGAGGGTCTTCAAGTTCTCCACTATGAGGTTGGGCAGAAGTACGATCCTCACTTTGATTACTTCCATGATGATCACAACACCAAGAATGGAGGCCAGCGTATAGCAACTCTTCTTATGTATCTGTATGTATTACACTGTTGGTATTCTATGATATGTGCCGTTGGTGACCCAATTGCCCAGTTGACATTTTCTATGGCAATTGCTATTTACTAGTTCGGATGTTGAAGATGGTGGTGAGACTGTGTTCCCTTCGTCGACAACAAACAGCAGCTCTTCACCATTTTATAATGATCTGTCTGAATGTGCAAAGGGCGGTCTATCTGTTAAACCAAAGATGGGAGATGCACTTCTGTTCTGGAGCATGAAGCCTGATGGATCCCTGGATCCCACAAGCCTGCATGGTGACATTACTTGATCTTTGATGCCATGCCATGTTTTCCAACAGGCAGGTGTTATGCCACAGTACACTGATACTTCTATTTTTCTTCAAATTTCCTTTAGGTGGATGCCCAGTGATAAAAGGCAACAAATGGTCATCGACAAAGTGGATGCGTGTTCATGAGTACAAAGGTTAGATACAAGAAGACACAGACCTGAGGTACTAAATTTTGCTCAGAAACCAAAATGGTCCTTATACTCTGTTTTTAGTTTGGCAATTGCAAAAGTAGTGCTGGGCCTCTACCTTGTACCAACAATATCCCCGACATATGTTGAAATGCCTGCGGTCAGCTTCGAAGATACATTTCAAATTCACTGAAATTTTGTCGACTCTTTGCAGGTCATGCACCGGTTCAAATTCGTGGACATTTTGGCACATGTCGAGGGTTTCGATTTTCCATAGAGGATTTAATTTACACTTTTTCTTTTCTAGCTGTTACTGAGGCAATGTCTTAGGCTCCGTGTTGTACATTAACATGTTAGGCTGATGAACATAAACCTGATGATTCAGAGATGGACGTGTTCGGTGTATACTGCCATTGCCCTTGTTCAAATCAAGATAGGATGTCTTATTGATGTTGAAAAGATCTTTTCTTTGTGTGTGACTATGCTAGGCTTTTCTTTTCTTTTCTTTTGGTGGTACCCAATACGCGGCAAAACTGAAGAAGCTTATACAATATCTCTAGAGTTTGTTTAGCCTAAACCGAAACAGGATCACCTCGAAACATTGTTGTTGTTAGGCTTGGAATCTGAATATCTGAGTGGCGGGAGCTCGTGGCTAGTCCTGCGGCGAACTGCGTTGTTTAGCAGGATAGCAGCGGCCGTTCGTTAGGAACAAGAAATCAGCGGCGCGTTCCACGCGTTGCTCGGAGCGCGCGACATACGTGCAGCCAGCGCCGCGGCGTCCAGCGAACTCGCAAACATTTTATAACCCGAGCACGCGGCAGACATGGGAAACGGCGGTGGGACAGGCGACAAGACGAAGACGAAGGCGACAGGAGGCCTCACCGGTCGCGAAACCCCCTCCTCCAGCCACGCCTCCAAACGGCGCCGGGGCCTGCGCGGCGAGTCCATGGCTGACCGCTTCTTCCCCAACGACTTTCCCGACTTCGTCGCCGAGGCTGAGGCCTGCGACGGCGACGGCGACGGCGACGGCGACAGCGAGGGCGCCGCCCCGCGGGGTTTCGGGGCCTGCTCTCGCTTCCGTACACCAGGCTCTCCGATCGCTTCGTCCGCGCCGCGCGCCGCCTCAAGGACAAGGTGCGCCCCGCTAGGCCGCTACTCGCTCTCTCTCGTTTCCTCTGTCGCCGCCCCCGCCCGCCAGGTGCTCGACTGATTGCTCTCCGGTACCCTCCCTGCAGGTGGTGGAGGAGACGTGGGTGAAAGACGGGCGGAAGGTGACGGACTACACGCTCTACACGGGCTCTCTCGGGACAGCGCTGCTGCTGTTCAAGTCCTTCCAGGTCACCGGCGACCGAGGGGATCTCGCCCTCGCTGCTGACATCGTCCGCGCGTGCGACGAAGCGTCCCGGGGCCTGCCGTAAGAATAAGATGACCGACCAAGCCCCCCGCTTTTCTTGTTCATGCTTGGTGCTGGTTGCTTTGGTTGGATCTTCCTGTTACTTGTTCATAATTGTATGGAGGTGTGTGGCCTGGGTGTGTAAGGCGCAGGTTCTTGACATTCATATGCGGGCGGGCCGGTGTCTGCGCTCTTGGAGCAGTGATTGCCAAACATTGCGATGATCAGCTGAGGGTCACTCAATATCTGAGCTCCTTTGATGAGGTGAGGCTTCTGATAAGCATAGTTCTGGGTTTAGGAGTCAATTTGTTCCTTTGTGTGTGCAATGCACTGTTGCCACGTGACTGTAGAACAACAGATGACACAACTGGTATACATCCTAATGTTGTAGACTCTAACTGTCCTTTGTGATGTTTTAGATAATAGTCGCTGAGAAAGTTCCAAACGAACTGCTGTATGGAAGGGCGGGTTATCTGTGGGCTTGTTTGTTCTTGAATAAGCATCTCAGCGGGGAGACGATCCCTCTCGAGCACATTGTATGTTAATGTTGTAGTTCTGTTATATAAATTCTCACACACATTTCGTTTTTAATTATACTCGTGAAAGGCACTGGAAATCTTATTATATCAAACCACTTCAACTGTAGAATTCTGTGGCAAAGGACATCATCAATGAGGGAAGAAATCTTGCAAGCAAGGGGAGTAGCCCGCTGATGTACGAATGGCATGGGAAGAAATACTGGGGTGCTGCCCATGGTCTTGCCGGAATCATGCACGTGCTCATGCACACTGAGCTGAAACCAGATGAGCAGGATGATGTAAAGAACACCCTGCGGTATATGATCAAGAACAGGTTTCCTAGTGGCAACTATCCCTCAAGTGAAGGCAATGATTCCGATCGCTTGGTGCACTGGTGTCATGGTGCCCCAGGTGTTGCTCTTACACTTGCTAAAGCATATGAGGTGATCTCTGCATCTGTTTACACATTGCTCTATTGAATCTCCTATTTGCGTCTGCATGTTTATTCAGTAGATTTTCTTGAGATCTGGCAAGATGTTTAACTAATGAGTGAAGCTGCGAATAACCAGATGGTCTATTAATCTTTAGAGTTTGGATGTGGCCACCATGAGTAACAATATCTGTATTTCAGGTCTTCCATGATGATTATTTCAAGCAATCAGCTGCAGAAGCTGCTGAGGTTGTCTGGAACCGAGGGCTTCTGAAGAGAGTTGGAATATGTCACGGTGTAAGCGGGAATGCCTATGTGTTTCTCTCACTCTACAGACTAACCGGTAACGTCGAGTACCTCTACCGGGCAAAGGCTTTTGCCTGCTTTCTTCTGGAGAAAGCTGATCAGTTGATAGCCGAGGGGGCCATGCATGGTGGTGATCGCCCGTTTTCACTGTTTGAAGGGAAGGCTGGGATGGCATACCTCCTCTTGGACATGGTTGATCCATCTGAATCAAGGTTCCCGGCCTATGAACTTTGAGAAACCCAATCTGTACAAGGGATGGGCTTGTGAGGCTGTGTGATGATCCAGCAGTCTGGAAAACTGTGTTTGTGTTTTCTCGTCTTGTCTGTAATGTGTGCTTGGACCTCGATGGCGCCTACTGTGTGTGTAGATTTGGTGCTCCTGACGTTGCAAACTTGGATCTTCTCATCTTCTGTGAAGTATACATGACCATCACATTGTGACTAAGACGCCATTACCCTAACTACTCAACCTTCAGCTGACATCATTCCAACTTGGCTTCCTGCTCTTTCCTTGCCATCAGCTTTACCAGCACTCCGTAGGTAGGTCCTACTACCATCCTGCTCAGGATCGACCCACCTCCACTAGTCTCCCGTAGACAATACTACCCAGCCACCATAGTCTCAATTTGTGGAGCAAAACTTAAGACATTGTAAATCTGCAATCATTCTCAATTCTGGAACAAAACTCAAGACATTGCAGATTTGTGATCATTTGGGCCAGCAACCTCGGTTGAGTGGTTGTATATACACCAATCAGGCGAACCGATTCCTACTTACAAAAGAATCGAACAAAACCAGCACAATCAAACAATCCCCCCAACTCCCAAGCAAACCAGCTAACAGAAGTACATGCAAGATTCGGTCTGATGTAGCGTGTCCAGGTCAGATCGGGCTCAATTGGTGGTGGGTGGGCTTTCGCTCCAAAAGCGATGTTTGGGATATCGATATCAGAACTCAAACGAGAAAATATTAGAATGAAGATAGTATTAGATTAATCATATAATATATTTGTATAGTACATTTATTTACTATTTTTTATAAATCTAGTCTAATTTAAAATTGATTGATTTCTTTTAAAAGACGAGACGTGCATCTTTTTCAAGTGCAGCTGCCTTCGGTGGAAAAGGATTTGCACGCCACTGGTGTAGTGATACTGATCGATGGATTCTATGGTTCCTGCCTGTCCTGTGTTTGTCCTCGTCTCAGTCTTCGGAAAACACCAAGTTGCAAACTGACCTACTCCTACGTCCTACCAGCGGAACTGCGGAAGGGCCCAAACGACAAGTCCAAGGCAGAGCAGACACGTGGCAGGCAGACTGACTGTCCATTTCCTCTCCTTATAAAGCTGATGAAACATCTCGCTCGCCGGCCGGCGTCGAAGAGCAAGCAGCAATGGCGCTGGAGATCGAGCACACCCACCTCCCCATCCGCGGCCTCAACCTCCACGTCGCACACGTAGGCAAAGGTGAGTCTCTGGCATCATCATCATCGTTGCTTGAGTTGAGCTGATGGATCCCCGAGGAGAAGCAGAGCATCAATCATGTGTGGCGGCCGTGTGCTGTTGGTTTGTGTGTTGCAGGTGACCTGGGCACGGTGGTGTTCCTGCACGGCTTCCCGGAGATATGGTACTCGTGGCGCCACCAGATGCTGACCGTGGCCGCGGTGGGGTACCGCGCCATCGCGCCGGACTGCCGCGGGTACGGCCTGTCGGACCAGCCGCCGGAGGACGAGGAGGCCTCCCTTGACGACCTCGTCGCGGACGTGCTCGGCATCCTCGACACCCTCAGCGTCCCGAAGGTAAGCATCAGCTCACCGAACGGATGGACGGACCATCCAATTCCAAGAACTGAGTTGTTGCCGCGCGCGCGTGCAGGCCTTCTTGGTGGGCAAAGACTTCGGCGCCATGCCGGCGTACGAGTTCACGCTGCAGCACCCGGACCGCACCCGCGACGTGGTGTGCCTGGGCATCCCCTTCATCCCGGTGCCCATGTCCTTGGACGCCATGCCCGAAGGCTTGTACATCCAGCGCTGGCGCGTGCGTAGCACTGACTGCATCGATCACCTCTGAGCTCTGAACTCTTCTTCGTATCGAAATCGGCACTCTGCAGCTGGTGTTCCTTTTGCTTCTCTTCTGCAGGAGCCGGGCAGGTCGGAGGCCGACTTCGGCCGGTTTGACGTGAGGCGCGTGGTGCGCACCGTCTACGTGCTCTTCTCCGGCGCCGAGATCCCGGTTGGCAAGGAAGGGCAGGAGATCATGGACCTGGCCGACCTGGCCGACCCCCTCCCGGAGTGGTTCACCGAGGAGGACCTGGACGCCTACGCCAAGCTCTACGAGAAGTCCGGCTTCGGCTACCCGCTCAAGATGCCGTACAGGTTAACCGCCACCGCACTCTTCTCGCCGGCAGCCAAACGAACGGCAGAGACCGGAGACTGAGAAGACTCTGATGTTCCTTGCTTTTTTTGCTTCCATGGAAAACTGATTGGGCATGAAGAGCTATACACAAGATCCCGAACCGGCTGGACGCCAAATTCCGGGTGCCGGTGTTCATAGTGATGGGGGAGAAGGACTACTGCTTCAAGTTCCCGGGGTTCGAGACCGCCATGCGCAGCGGCGTCATGAACAACTTCATGCCGGACCTCAAGATCACCTACATCCCGGAGGGGAGCCACTTCGTGCAGGAGCAGCTCCCAGAGCAGGTCAACGACCTGCTCCTCGGCTTCCTCGACGACCATCCCTCCGCGGCATAAGGAGATTCCGAGAGGGTGAGACTGCGACCGTGTGAATAATATGATTCTTGAGCAATTGGTTTCTCTTTTGCCGTTGCCTGGATCTATGACCGTGTTAATTAGCTCATACTCAAACAAGTTGTACTCAAACAATGTGTTCGACAGAATGAGCACACGCCGGGTTGTAAGGAAAAGAAAATGGACTTTAGTCTCATTTACTTTCGATTTTAGTATTTCATGACCAACACAACTAAATTAAATTAATAAATTTGTAAGTAATTATTTTGTAGTTCAATAGGATGCAAAACGTGACTTTGACGAAGGCGACGTGATAATCCGATGATCAACACTTCAAGAAAGACATGAAGATGCATAGAAGACATATAAGGTCAAGCAAAGTACAGCACGAAAATTGAAACCAAGCTGGACGCAAGATCGCGAAGAAACGAGCCCGGCAGAGGTAATCGGACATGGTCCTATGAGTGATCGGACGCTGATCGGACACACCGGTCAGCGTCCGATCAGGTGCTAGGCAACAGTAGGCGTCGGCAGTTGTGACCGGACGCACCGGTGACACTGTTCATCATCACGAAAGTGTTTTCAACGTGACCGGACGCAGCAGACTGGACGACCGAACGCACGAAGTGCAACGTCCGATCGTTTCTAGAGAGGTTTCAGAGCGGCGCCAGCGCGACTGGACGCGTCCGGTCGATGATGACCGAACTCAGCCCAGAGTCTGATCAGCGCGCGCACTCAACGGTCGGGACGACCGGACGCGTCCGGTCAGGACGTGAACAGCGTCCGGTCAGTGGCAAAAAAGTGGGGTTCGTCGCTAACGGCTACTTTCTCAGTGGGGCTTATAAATAGACCTCCAACCGGCCATTTGAGTAGAGTGGAGCAGAGGAAACATACCTAGGGTGTTGACACACCATTTTAGTGATCTTCACTTGTATAGTGCTTAGTGATTCATCAGGTGATTAGCGTAGGTGCTTTGCGAAGTGCTTAGGTTGATTAGACCACCGCTTATGCGCTTGCTCTAGGTTTAGTCCTGGTGTTTAATGAGGTTTGCATACCTCTTACCACTCGGTGCTTGTGCGCACCATTGTTGTACATCGGAGAGGCTTGTAGTCTTACGAGATCACACCAACCGCGTTTGTGGTGTGGCCACCACCGTGTACCGGAGGGAACAAGGCCCGCGACGGTTCTACCGGAAGCTTGATAGTGAAGACGGTGGGAAGCGGTACGGGAGAGGCTTGTCGGAAGGCACACCGAAGACTCACTTGCGAGGGATTCCTTGTGAGGGGCTCCAACGAGGACTAGGGGAAAGCTTACGCGCTTCTCGATACCTCGGTAAAAATACCGGAGTCGTCGACGGGAGTTTGCATATTTCTACCTTACTCTTTACCTTCCGCATTTACATTGTTTGTATAACTCTTTTTTGACGGTAAAGATAGCAACACACTAGAAAAATCATAGTTGCATATTTAGATAGTTTATCTTTCACATAGGTTTTGCTAAGAATAGAAAAAGATGCCATAGTTTAGAATTAGAGTTTTAAGTTGCCTAATTCACCCCCCTCCTCTTAGGCTTCACAATCCCTTTTCAATTGGTATCGGAGCAAGGTTGGCTCAATTTGGACCTTTGGTTTCACCGCTATTGAGCCGACGCTATTTAGAGTGGTTGGAATGGATATTTCTAGATCTCCGCACTTTGACGACACTAACTTTCTCTACTATAAAGCTAGAATGACTTGTCACCTTGAGATGGTAGATTTGGGTGTTTGGAGAGTCACTCGTGACGGAATGAAACCCATTAAGAATCTCGATAAAGTCATAAAGAGTGATGAGAAAGAAATTCATTTCAATGCTTGAGCAAAAAATTGCTTGTTTGAATCTTTTAGCATGGATGTGTTTAACCAAGTGTTCACTTTAAATACGACACATGAAATTTGGTTAAAACTCTAAGAGCTCCATGACGGTACAACTAATGTCCGTGAGCAAAAATATTGTCTAGCTAAAACAAAATTATGATCCCTTTAAAATAAATGATGATGAGCTTGTTCGTGATATGTATTCTCGTATAAATCTAATTATCAATGAGCTCCATTCAATAGGATTAACGAAGCTAAATGATGCGGACATCGTGAGGAAGATCATCTCCATGCTACCACAAAAGAAATATGCAAGTATCATCACCATCCTTTATAATATGGAGGACTTGAGCACCATGACCCCCGCCATAGTCATTGGTAAGATAGTGGTATTTTAAATGCCACGCACCATGGGTCAAGAAGAAGCCTCTTCATCAAGCAAATGCAAAGCTCTCGCATGTAGTGAGAAAAATAAGATGAAGGGCAAGCAAGTTGAGACAAGCTCAAGCTCCTCAAGTGAAGATTGAAAAGAAGATGATGATGATGATGATGACAAGATTCGAGTGATGATGATCAATCCTCCTCCTCCACCTCTGACCTTGATGAAGAATCTATCAAACTTATCAACAAGATGGAGAAGATGATTTAAAGGCTCAATGTCAAGGGTGTGCCCATCCAAATTCAAGATTTCATCTTCACCAATCGAAGAAATGAGCAAAGAAAGAAAGGATGCTATGAATGCGACGAGTTGGGGCACTTTGTGGAAGTTTGTCCAAACAAGCCCACACCCAAGACAAAGAAGAAGACGTGCAAGAACAAAGCTCTCACATCAATAAGGTCATGGAATTATTTTTCAAGTGAAGAAGAAGACCATCATAAGAGACGAGGGCACAAGCACTCATCATCAAACACTTCATGCGTGTGCCTTATGGCACGAGGTAACAAAAAGTCTATCCCTAGTGATAGTGACAATAATAGTGATAGTGATGATAAGCTACCTTCTTATGATAAAATTATGCAAGAAAATCTTAACTTTGCTAAAATTTGCACTAGTCAACAAAATAAGCTTGAAAAATTAAAAGAAAAAACTAGATAGCTCACAACAAGCTTATGCTACTTTGCTTGAACAATATGAAACTTTTGTCAATCTTAATATGGAGCTATCTACTAAAATTGAGCAACTTTAGACTAGTGCAAACAAAAATAATTGCACAATCAATGATGAGCAACTTGTAAAGAAAAATAAAAAATTAAAGGAAAAGTTAGCTAACTCACAAGATGTTTATAAAGGTTTGCTTGCTAAAATGGAAACCATGTGCAAACACTATGATGAGCTAACTAATAAAGTTGCTAATCTTGAAGCCGTCGGTATGACCCCCACCGAGGCACCTAAAAAGAAAGGTTCAACTTTTGACATGCCTAAAAAGGATGCCTCTACTTCTTGCAATGATTTATGTTTAGACTCACCCTTGTGCAAGCAAGTTTGTGTTGAGAAAGTTATTGTAGATACATGCACACAAGAGGTTGCAATGAAGAATGAGCAACTCAAGCAAGAAGTGGCTCGCCTCACCAAGCACTTCAAGTGAAAGGCAAGACGGAGCAAGCCAACTTCATCAAGATAACACCGTCAAGGGAGTGAAGAAGCTTGATGAAGAACAAACCATGGTTTGCTACATATGCCACAAGAAAGGCCACAAGTCCTATGAGTGCAAGGTGAAGAATGGGGGAGGAGGAAAGAAGAAAGAGAAAAAGCAAACAAGCAAGTTCTCCAACACCTACACCAACAAGGTGAACAAGAAGACCTCCGCACCATACTTGTTAAAAGTAGAAGAAAAATAACAAGGTGGTGCCCATCAAGGTGAACAAGCAAGCTAACAATGGGGCCAAACATATTTGAGTGCCAAAGAAGATTATTTCCAACATGAAGTATGGGTGCATTTCATGGGGTGCATCATTATGGATAAGAAAATTGCCAAGTGGGTTAGTGAATACTACAGGCCTAAATTCTCCTTTTCATGTTAGGTAACTAGATTTAATTTCTTACAATTTCAATTAGCATCTAGTTTCTTTTTATGCCTAGGTTTGCATTTACATGCTTAAATATTTTATCTTGCATACGCTAGGTATATCTTATGGTAGGCTTGATCGGTTTCACTTTTAACCCTTGGAGCAAACCAACATGGTTTAAATTGTTTAGGAGCACGGCATATAGCTTGTTTTACAATTGTTCATCTAATATGTGTCAAAGTCTAAATTGTAGATAATTTCTCCCGAATATTACTTTCGAAAATAATTCTCACATTCGTGTGATATCATCTTTCAAGTGGTATTTTTATTTCTAAAAATCAATGTGCATAACTCCTACAAATATATTCATACTTGTATGCACAATTTTAGAGGAAGTTTACTCTACAAGTTGAATGCTTTGAGACTAACACCTGTTCAAACTTATCATGTGTGTAGTAGTCTCATTGCAAGAAAAACAGAGTCCCGAAGTTAAGCATCATACTTCAAATATCTACCACCTATTGCAAATGGTATAAAAAATCAAATTGGTTTTTACATGTGGTATTTCTAAACCGATATCATCATGTCGATTTTACTTTGGTATTTAGGCTGTGTTTAGTTCGCGAAATGAAAATTTTTGGATTTCACATCGGATGTTTCGGAGATGTCAGAAGAGGTTTTCGAATACTAATAAAAAAACTAATTACATAATTCACCTAGAAACTACGAGACGAATTTATTAAGCCTAATTAATCCATCATTAGTGCATGTTAGTTACTGTAGCACTTATGGCTAATCATGGACTAATTAGTCTTAAAATATTCGTCTCTGAATTCCAACCAAACTGTGCAATTAGTTTTTTTCGTCTATATTTAATACTCCATGCATGTGCCGCAAGATTCGATGTGATAGTTTGGGGTGAAAATTTTTAGGAACTAAACCAGGCCTTATATGCTTTCTCCATGCATTATACAGATTAAACTCCCTTAAACATTAAATTGCCAATATGCATACACTACATTCTCCATCATATGTATGCATATATTTAGGGAGAACTTAGTCTATGTAATGTGAAAGTCAAATTTTGTGACCTATTCCACTACACATACAAAGGATCACAAAGTTTAACCCTCCTTATACTATT